AAAAAAAAAAAAAAAAAATTATTTCTCGAGTTTGAGTGAAAGGAGCAACCCCGGGGATGAGGCAGTGGGGCGTGTGGGTGCGCATGAGTGCGAACACACGTGGGGGTGCAAGTGCATGTGTGTATGTGCACGCAGGTTGCTCCTAGGGGTGCAAAGGTGCGCGCGCACGGGTGCGGGGTGCACGCCCCCTCGCGGCGCCCTCACGGCCCTCCGGCCCCTTGCCCTGCAGAGTACAGTGGCCGCCGACAGCCCTACCCCTTCGAGCGCATGATCTTCGGCGCCTGCGCTGGCCTTATCGGGCAATCGGCCTCGTACCCGCTGGATGTGGTGCGGCGGCGTATGCAGACGGCCGGCGTCACCGGCTACCCGCGTGCCTCGATCGCCTGCACGCTGCGCACCATCGTGCGGGAGGAGGGCGCCGTGCGCGGCCTCTACAAAGGCTTGAGCATGAACTGGGTCAAGGGTCCTATCGCCGTGGGCATCAGCTTCACCACCTTCGACCTCATGCAGATCCTGCTGCGGCACCTGCAGAGCTAGGGTACCCTGAGCTGCTCTCAGGACGGTGGACCAGTGACCCCTTTGTATTCTGGGCCCACGGAACGGGGGGCGCGCTTGATTCCACCTCAGGAGCCACATGAGGCGCTTTGTGGAACGAGAAGGTGGACCTGAGGAGCCTGGGCTCAGAGTCCAGGTCCAAACGCAAAGCTGGCGGCCCTGGAAGTGCAGTGTTGGGGCGATGGTGTGGAGGGGTCCCGCAGCCCCCCTCCTCCTTCCTCTGCAGAGGCTGGCGCTGCCTGCCGGAGGTGTTGCCCAAAAGGCCCTAGTGGGGCGTGGTCGGCTCCACCTCCTGATCCTGTGTGTCCTCCGACATGCTGCTGATTCTAGTGACCCCTGTCCCCACCAGGCTCAGAGCCAGACCGCGCCTGGCCCTTCTTGTTCTGACTCCAGGCGCCTGCCCGGCCTCCAGGGTGCGAGGGCGCCTTTCCTGCAGGCGGACCCTGCCCTGGATGGGGCCAGCCTCGTGATCAGCTTTGGTCACAAATGCAGCCCCTGGACCACCCCACCCTGCCGGCCCTGCCTTCTCCAGTATTTCCCGCGTGGCCACGACTCCTCAGTCACCAGAGCCTCCTGCTGGGAACAGTGTCCCCCAGAGCCTCATGTCTGTCTCTATCCTAGACCCTGCAAGCAGCTGGGTCCTCAAGAGCACATCTCCCCATAGGGTTGCCTGCCCACCTGCTTTGTAACCTTCCCAGGAGACTCAGGCTTGCTGTGCAGCAGGGCTCGAGGTCCAGGCCATGACATGGAACTGCCTCAGGTTTGGGTCAGACCTGCAGCCTGGGCATCTGCTGAAATGTAAGCACCCAAGCCGCCCCCTTTGGCCCAGAAGCTCCTGCCCCCTGGGCCCAGCGTCTCAGTGCCCCAACCCTCTGCCCAGCTGTGGTATCCAACAGGTCCCTGGGTCCCCACTTGAGCAGGCATTTGGCTGGGATATGGAGCAATTTAAAGCCCACAGGAGTTGTTCAGTTTCTATGAAATGGAGCACGGGGCACCTGGTAGCCTCGATCTCCCCGAGTGGGAGCCTCATGACAGAGTATAGCCTGGGGGTGGGAGGTGAGGAAGAGCTGAGGTACCCAGGGGAGCTAACTGGTCTCTCAGAGAAGTCCCCCAGGGCCCACCAGATATCACAGGGACTCAAACACCCTTCTTTTTTTTTTTTTTTTTGGTTTTGGTTTTCAACTTGGCTGACCCCGGGTCTATGATCTATTGACATTGAACCCCTGACCTGGTGCCAGGGTGAGCGTAACGTGAGTGTTGCTTTCCACGACTGGCTCAGCACTCGCTGTGTGAAGGGATCTGAGCTTCTTCATCTCCAGCTGTGACTTCCATTTCTCCCTTCCTTCTGTCCTCCTCCTGTTCTTGCCTTGGACCTGTGGGTGTGCAGACCGCTCTCTCTGCCTTCCTTGCATGTGGCCACCAGCCATCCCTGATCTCGTCCCCAGAGGCCCAGGCAGCCTGTGATGGCTGTGAGGGGTTGTCCCACTGGGTGGGTATCCTTTACCCAGCACTCAGACTTGGCAGGAGAGGCAGGGCAACCCTCACAGGGAGATGAGAGGGCACCCAACTCACACAAGCATGTGACAGCAATAGGGATTGGAGGTCTGCCCCAGGTGGGTGAGACCAAATGGGTGGATTTGGGGCCACAGGCTAGGCAGGAGAGACAAGGCGTAGGTGGGAGGGTCCCCCAGGCCCTGCTGACCCCAGTGTGTCTCCCCGGAGATGGCTCCCAGCTGAGTGGGACCCGGCAGGAGTTGGGACAGTGCTGTCCCCCACCCCTGCACACAGCCAGGCCCTCGAGGCTGTGCGGTCACTCGCCTCCCTGCTAGTCTCTGGTCCTGGTCTGGAGTTATATTTTGATGCCGTGAAGACACTGTTTATATCTAATGTTTATATATTTTAAAGATTTGTGCCAAGAGAGTATATTTAATAAAAATATAAATGACTTCTTCTCCTGCTCCTGGCTGTTCTTTGGCTCTGACCCCACATCTTCCCCCATAAACCCCCAAACAGGGTTGAAGTGTTTTTGAAACATATTTGTGATAAACGTTCTGAATAAAAGTCTTGAATAAAGTTTTTAAATGCGATTGTTGTTTGAATTAATACATACCACAATTTTCCAGAAAACACCAACTGTCCACAAGGGCTTACAGTGAAAAGTAGGTGAACAGTTCCCTCCGCAGGGGGCCTCCTGTGACCATTTTCTCCTGTCTCCTCCCACAGAGATTCTGTGCATACACTCGTCCCATTCAGGATATATGTGGCCACCCACAAAGGCAGGAGGGGCCGTCTCCAGCTGCATCCAGCGCAGCCCAAAGTCTCATGGACTTGAACACGGCCTTCCTTCCCAAGAGCCCTGCACTCTGGGGCTGGCTGAGGCTTCAGGTCTGAACATCAGTCACCATCTGCAGGGGCAGCCACCACAGGGTCTCCAATGGCAATCCCGGCTCACTTCGCCTGCAGCCCATTGGCCAGAGCAACTTGCAGGGCCCACCCACCACCAGGCCAGAAGTGGGAGCCTCTGCGTGCCCAGAGAGGAGAGGTGGCTGGGCCAGCACAGGCGTGGTGCTCTTGTTGGGGTGGGAGTAGGAACAAGTTCCACTGTGCTGACCCCCCGCTGCTCTCCAACCTGCTCACGTGCAGCAGGATTTCTTTTGAGTTGGTCTGTGTTGTACATACTGTTTAGCAGCTATGCAGTTTTCTCCTAGAGGATTCCCATGGTAAAATTCACCAAGGTGGGTGCGGTGGCTCAC